AAGCTTACCCAGTGACCTTCCTGCCACTTAATATGACATATTTTTGTCTTAATTTTACCTGGCCTTTTCTTGGCACAACATTCTCCTGTTTTTCATTTTTTTATTTTTTAACTGAAATAACTTAAAAAAAAATGTTTCTCAAGTGTCTTAGTCTGCTTCTGAGTCCTGGGAGCTGCAACATTTGCAGGTAGAAAAGGACCCAGGAAAGGACTCTGAGAAGAAGCAACAGAGGAGAAGCCAGGTCAGACACCACAGTCCCTAGCTGTCCAAGCCTAGCTGACAGCCCTTTTTCCTCCACTTCAGTGAGCCACTGGAACTATCCATTCTACACTCGCATCTCTTCTGCAACTAACTTAATTTATATCTCCTCTGGATTAGTGAAAGTTCCTTTAAAATGGGCTGTTTTGCTTCTAGTAGTATCTTCCTCTAATATGTTCCTCCTATTGTAAAGAGAATAATTTGTAAAGTATAAATATGATCGCATCACTCTCACGCTTAAAACTATTATCCTAAAGATGCTGGAGAACCACTGAGGCACTCAAAATCCTACACATGAAAAGGCCCCTCATGATCTGACCTTTGCTTATTTCACAGAGGAACATTTCTTGCTTTTTCTCAACACTGTGCTCAGGTCACATTTGATAAGTTGTGTGTGGCTCCTGCATCCACGTTCTCTCCCCTCTTGGCCCTTGTTCCTCTACTCAATCATTCTATTACCTCATTACACTCCTCGTCTAATTGCATTCTGTAAGCTGCACATTAGATGTCACACTTCACCTCCAGGGCCAGGCTGGATGTCCCTTCCTTGAATCCCCGGAGCACTCTGCACATACCCTTCCTGTACCTCTATCAAACTGTATTACAATTGCTTGCTTGTTTTTGCCACTCTTTGAAGAGAGGGTCTGGGTTTCACCTGCCTTTCTGTCTCCAGCCTAAAATAGTCTGGGATGTACAACAGACACACAATACACATTTATGAAACAAATGTATCACTGATAATCAAGATATCACAGATGCGTAGAGGAGCTGGTTGATCACGTCAGATAGAACTATTTCAATTGTTCCAGCAATAAAAAATTCACAGAGACATCGAAGTAGCTTCCAAAATCCTTCACTAGTCAATGGCAAGAGGAGTATTGTAGATAGGTTTAAAATTGGCAAACCTGGGTTATAGACAGCGTCCTCAGAACACAGTTTTAAGTAGGAGGAAGACATGATAAAATATGGTTTTTAGAAAGATTAATCTGACAACAGGAGAGAAGTTTATGTAAATGCAGAGGGAACAGAGTTCTGTTGTACCTTATCTTGATTAACTCAGAAAACACAAATGTTCCATTTAGCTCTGTCCTGAAAGGTAGGAAAGGCCTTTCCCCACTGGGCTGTAAGTGGTGGATCCTTGAAAATGTTTTGACATTCCTACCAGCAAATATAGCCTGGGATATAGTAAATACTCAATAAAATGAGCTAATGAATGAATAAATGAAAAGCTTGTTACCAAGCTATGATATCTTCCTAACATCAGCCAGTAATTTAAAAATTATCAGGGCTGACCCCGTGGCGCACTCGGAAGAGTGCGGCACTGGGAGCGCAGCGACGCTTCCGCCACGGGTTCGGATCCTATATAGGAATGGCCCGTGCGCTCACTGGCTGAGTGCGGTGTGGGCGACACCACACCAAGGGTTGCGATCCCCTTACCGGTCACGAAAAAGACAGAATAAATAAATAAATAAAAATTATCAGCTATTAGTTAAAAAAAGGAAAAAAAGCCAGGCATGTATGACTGATTGAATAGTAAACTGATATAAATTNGCTTGTTACCAAGCTATGATATCTTCCTAACATCAGCCAGTAATTTAAAAATTATCAGGGCCGACCCCGTGGCGCACTCGGGAGAGTGCGGCGCTGGGAGCGCAGTGACGCTCCCGCCACGGGTT